ATATATTTGTCTTTATTCTATGTATATGAGTACAATAAAATACTTATATTAATTACTATTACAACATTCAATATTATAATCACTTTTATTATCATTCAATGTCATTTGTGCTGTACATTTCACTTGCGTTTTTCATAGTCCACTAAATGCAGTTACTCTAGATAGCGGTGACCACAGAAAGCTGGAAGCAATATCCATACACATACGGCAGAACCTCACATCGTTGAGAACTTTGGGGATATATTCTCCGTTCAGGCGAAAAATTTCAACCTGGAAAATGGCGCGGCGGCGAGGCCGCCTGCCGTGGAGGCAAACCGTGTCACAGGGGAACAAATCGTAATTTTTAAAGGTTTTATGGCTGCATGCACTTGATAGAACAATCTATATTAGAATGAACATATCTTGCGGAAGGTTTAGATTTAGATTTGATGATTCAGTCATTTATTTGTTTAGCTTGCTACTGTAAGAAGATCAAACATGTAATGATAATTGAAATCGGTGAAATTATTATAATTAAAAATAAGCTTAATTCGTAGGAAAACCAATGGACTACTGTAGTGATTGATATCGCATACTTGCTAATTTAAGTAGGTTTTGAATATTTAATCGCAACGATTATTTATCATCTAGACGATAAAAAATTGGCAGTATAACAACATGTAGTTTAAGGTTAAAATGCTACGAGCTACGGGTACAGCGTTTCATGATATAAAACATACAAAGTTGTTAGTTATAATTATACTTTTTATTTAAACTATGTAATTCATAAAACTTGGGGTAAGTGTAATTTCATACACGCGGTTAATACGCAATACCCTGGTACAGTCAGTTTCCTATGTATTAACTTGAGATGTTAGATTACGTGCTTTACAGGAATGCTCATGTATGCTCTGCGTCTGAAAATGATTATGACATTACTGCAACTTGTGCCCAAACTATGCTAGATGTGATACGTATCTGCCAGGCCCACCTAACGACTTAAACGCTCTCAAGTATCGCCAACCAGTAGCACACGCGCTATCGCATGCCTATTAGAAACCGACACCTCTGATTATGGGAAGCTTAACGCGATACAATGGGTGCCTAGATCCAATGAAAATGCCTATCTATGGAGATGCATAATACATTTTCCTATATAGGTGGATAATTTCCTCATCGTTGCAAGGAAATCGCACATTACTAAGGAACAAGCTATTTTGGTCAGTGGGAACAGCAGTCACCCTTACGAAAGGCTTAGGAGCATACGTGGCCACTCGCCATTCGACGCGACACACAAATTAGTTTAGCCTACATAAAGTTCAGCTTACGGTTGAGATACTAGCTGTGGCATTCGAAGACTCCACGACAGAGCATACGCGAATCTAGAATCTTCCGCATCCATGTTATACGTGTACTACTTGTAATATTATTGAAATCGGTCCAGACCTTTAAAAAAACCTCATGCTTTTAAAAATGTACAAGACAATTCTCGCCAATATTTCTTAAAAGAAAAACATTTTGGTTTTTACAGTGTTTCATAATTTTGGCAGCTCAATGCTATCTTGTTATAGACTCCACCCGACTTGAAATCAACTTTGATATGACAGTGTCATTTTGTGGAAACTATTTCTCTTTTTTTTTTTTCATTTTGCCTATTGGTATATAAATTTGTGAATAAACAAATCACCAAGTGTCTAACTACAGTTGAGGCGTCACAAACTTATTTTCTATTTTTTTTAAGTTCCATTCAGGCATTCGTATCCTGAAGCGATTTGGACAGTTAATTGTAATTATTTTGTTTGTTTTCATTTTGTGGAGTCGTGGCTGAGTGAACATCGGAATTGATGCCACAGTGTGAGACAGCTACTAAATTGACGAAATTGGAAATGAAGATGGAACAAGTAAATTAATAACAACACTCTCTTTTTTTAATGCGATATTGTATAGGAACTTATATATAAGTTCCAAATATTGCTAGACAATGCAACAGACTTTTTTTTTATAGCTGGAAAGCGTCTGTCGTTTTCAAATAAAGTTGGGGTACGCTTCAGTAATAACAAAGCGCGGAATACAAATAACGTTGTGGAAAGAACGGCATACCCCATCGGCACACTAACCGGTTCGCTGTCGATTAGGGTCATAGCATTGATGCGCCTTTTTTTATAAAACCTTTTTACGGAGACAATTGATCCAGAGGCATAATATGTCGTTACACCGGCAAGAAATTCATAAAGTGGAATTTTCTTCGTATGACAGCAATGAACTAATAAAAAAGTAGTGTAAAGTCAATATTCAATAATATCAAAAACAATATTTAGAGTAGTTGTCGAAAATACTCCTGAGAGTGTGCTTCATTTCCTTTATTATTTTTTGTTGAAGATTTGATGTGAAGAAAGTTGAAATTCATCTACTGCGCATTCACTAAATAACGAACATTTCTTTTTAAATGAAAAAATCTATATTTCTGCACCGAATTGAATTAGAACAACTATACAACGCACTGAATAATCAAATACTCATGTTACGTTCTGTGCGAATGCAAATGAGTATGTGTCAAATCAATAGTTATGAAGAAATAAAAGTACATATACCTATATAACAGTATGAGTTCTTATTTATTTGGTTTGCAGTAAGACTTGATATAACATTCAGACGTAATTAGCCTATGTAGAGCATCCCATCATTAGTCAGATAGTCATTATGGCAAGCTTTTCATTCAGACTCCATTAAATGATGTTACTCTGATTGTGAACTCTCAAAACAAATGTACGAGTTTTCGAGGTCTTCGTTTATGCTCAATTTGCTACCTTTGTGGCGGACTGCTCACCAAAGCACGTTCCTCTGTCGAGCAAAATGCTCACAGTATTTCTGTTCGCAACAGGCATGCATTCATCCCAAAAGCGCGACTCTTTATATAAAACAAGAGAAGATAACAGTCGTTTAACGTACAGGACTGATGAAATCAATACTTTTTTATTAAGCATAGGCCATAAAGAAATAACCTGAAAAGTTAGGGAAGAAGGATAAAATGAATAATAGTAATGACAACAATGAAGTACAAACCATCCAAAGCAATGTTCACTAGTTATCAAAACCGTGCAATTTTTTTCCACAGAGGCTGTCAGCGCTTTCGGCATTAAAAAACGGCAATTAAAAAATGTTTTATGTAAACAACTACCGTACGGTAAGATACATTCGTGTGTGGCCTAAGCACAACGTCAAAATATGTTTAGGGTCAGTTATACATATTCTATCTTAGCAAAACACTATGTAGCGAAAAAGTACAATGTTTATATAAAAGTAGCATGTCATTGAAAAGATATGTAAAATTAGAAAAATCAAGCTAGTTAGAATCGAAGTGTCGCTACGCATTTGACATTGACAGTGTTAAAACTTCCATGGTGCTCCTATTCCTGGCATCGTTCAAGCTTCTATGGCGCTCCTATTCCCGGTGAGAAGCTCGACACCCGTATAGAAAGTGGCGCCTTTCTTTAGTCGAGGCATTTTACCTGAGTTGTGGTTGTTTGTGAGCCTATCGATCGCAACCGGTTTGTGAAGTTCGCTCTCACCGTCTCGTCCGTAAGAAGGCTTCACAGAGTCCTTGGTATTACCTACCGACACTTTGGCCAGATAACCATTGTCTTCTCGACCTCAGAATGCCTGTACTGACTGTGAACACCAACGTGCCCGCTGATAGGATACCGGCTGACTTCCTTGAAACTTCCTCAAAAATAGTCGCTGATACGCTTGGAAAGCCTATCTCTGTAAGTGCACTTAGTTGCTTTGCATGGAATAAAGGAAAATAGAGCTCAATTGATAGTGTTAGATACGTAATATGTAATAATGATAGATATGTAATAAGTAGTGTTAGACAGACGCTAATTTGAATCGAGAGTTTATACAGGTAACATTTCATAAGAAGGAAAATAGTTGCAATAGTTATCTTTGACCACAACATTCGACGCGAAATTATATCCATCTGTCGTCAACATTAGCAATATATTATACGGGCAATCTCTGGAAGTGGTATCAAACCTTTGTTTGTTTGCCTGTTCGTCACCACCGATTCTATTGGAGAATCAGTTTCAGAATAGTTAGAGTAGAATGATCTTTTATTCCTCTTCGATACGGTAACAGTACAAAATACCTTAGTGGCCATGCACGTATCGAGGCTGCATTTGTGGGTCGCTACTTGTTGTCAGACGCTTATTTATTTAACTGAATGCGCCATATGCGATTAATGCGTTTTTCTTATTGCAGTACGTAATGGTGCACATTGCAGCCGGCCAGCAGATGTCGTTCGCAGGAGACCGTGCCACTCCATGTGCGAACTGTACGCTGTCTTCTATTGGCTGCATTTCAGCTTCGCAAAACAAGAAGACGTCAAAGGCTATAAGTGACCTCCTCGATTCGAAATTGGCTATTCCCTCCGACAGGTATGAACCGCGGTGAAGAGGAATCAGTCGTTTTTAAAGCTAATTTTTAGTTCTTCAGAGAGGACACTTTACGCTACTAAGACATTATTATTGCTATGCCAATACTTTTCTGTTTTTGTCCTAACAAAATGTTTAGTAGTAAACAAAATTTTCGTTTGAATTAAGCAGTTAGTTGACAACCGTTCACAAATCAGTTGTAGGTGAAGGCACCGCTTTGAATACCGAGTCTAGCTTTTGTACTTCCCTAAAATGTAAATGAAGCATTTACACGATCTAAAAAATTGGAAAGCAAGTTTGCCGCACAAAAAATACTTTTGGAACAAAAGATAATAGGATATTCATTTGTTTACAGGATGTACATCAACTTTGTTGATCTTCAACCATGCAATGTTGGTTTTAACGGGTCGACGTTCTGAAGGCTTCTTTCAGAGGATATTTTTTTTGTTGAAATGTCTCTCAATAATGAAAATAATGCACTTGGTGCAAGCGACAATAAATTTCGACATTCAGAAATTGTTTTTTACAATAGTGTTAAAGTATAAAAAGTAACAAGATGCTGCTATTTTATAGTTACTGATCGTTCGTTGAGCACCATTTAGAATTAAAAAATCGATCTATAAGGCGCTAACAAAACACGTTGAGTTTGTGAATGGCACGTGCACTGGTTCGGTTTTCAATCATATTTCACGCATTTCATGCAAATTTACAAGTAAGTCAAAATAAATCTAAATATACGCACACAGGTTAACGCTATTGAAACTTTCCTCTTCTTTTAAAATGCTTGATGTTCAAGAGAGTAAGCTGATTCACTGATCTAGCTTGGCCGCATTACCCGAAATCGTATTTACAGCACTTAATGTTGTAATATTTTCGTTTTTTACGTTCCATTTTAGTCATCCTTTAGTTCACTAAGTAGGATTTGTGGTCCGCTACGCCACACGTCCTCCTTCAGAAGTTTGTTGCGAATACGTTCATGACTGAAGATCCCATGAAGATTAATATTTTAGAATTAATTACAATCTTTACGCCAGATTCACATAAAATCTTTTCAAAGGTTGAAAAATCTCTTGATTACTCTTGCCAATGATTACGTTCATATCACCTGTGGCAATCATTAATTTCGACCTCTGAAATCAACCATATTCGGTCAATTTTTCTTTTAGTTTTTCGGTTCACTGTAGGTGGGATTGGGGGACTGGAATTCTATTGATCCTTTTACCCTAGATAGCCATGCAACTGTCTTCCGTATGTTCTGAAATCACCTTCCCGAGACTTTTTAGTGCCTAAAATCGAGCTCTAATATACTAACATAACAGGTCCGAGTACGCTGCCCACCAGGAACTCAAGTTTGGCTATTGTGTTAAACCATTTGAGTAGAAGACAGAATAACTTATTACATGTTAAATTATCGCTCTGCTTTATTAATTGGACCTCGGTCATCAAACTATTACAATTTGTTACAACCTTTTTTCATTTCAGCTCCGTCAAACACAATTATATGTATGGAGTTACCGGTCGATAGAACTACTTAAATATATCGTGTGTAAATAAAAAGTTATTAAATATATTATTATTATTAGTTTGTCATAGAAAAATAAAACACAGATTTCCAGGCCACACGCACAGAGAAAATAATCTAAGCTACATTACTTGTTATGGAATGTTAATCTATGAGTCCATCATAGTACCAAGCACACCGGTCGAGTTATCAGCGTGTACGCGATGTGTGCTGGAGTGAGTTAGCAAAAAAACAAGAAATATTGTCGCTGCAACTGCTCTTTTAAATGAGCTGAGTGTGCCCAAAACGAACATCTTCAGATCGACCAGATCCAGAAGAACCAGATCGAACACAAAACGATTATAGATTCATCACTTTATATACCACCAAATGTTGATAAATACTTGTTGAACAACTTCGTTTTAAAAAACCTGCATTGTGACGAGTGAAACTTCGTTCGATGACGAGGCCTAAATATACGTAAAGATAAGGTAAGATTAATAGCAGGTTGGACACATGGACATTTGGTAATATCATAGCATGAGGCGAAAATAATGGACTTGAGGTGTGTGCATATGCGAGAGTACATTTAGCAATATGTCCTCAATGGACATGAGAATGACAAAGCTTATAGAAAGAAGTTTGTATAAAGAGAAATTTTCGACATTATTTTGCCAGCCTGTAGCATTTTTGCCTAACCTTCCACTAATAATAAGCCATTTGTTGCAATTGAATTCGTGCTTAAAATAATCACTTTTGGTAGTAGGCACTAAATCTAGTGTCATATATAAAGGCGCACAAGGAGTACGCAATTGGTAGGTGAAAACGTTAGACGTCGCTTTTAACATTGGACCTACTTATTATCCTGTATAAAATTTTCGTTTCTTTCTTTTCGAAGTTTTTCTTATGAGGAACCTTGAATTAATGCTTCCCTGTTAATGAAGACATAAATGAAAATCGTCTTTTTCCAATCTACCAACATGGCTGTATGAAAAAGAAGTTGGGAAAGCTTATACGGTATTTAAAAAATGGAAACTTTTAATTAACTTAATTTATTATTCAATTAAGAAGCTGTGGATTCACTATTTATCGACATTTTAAGCCATGCTGGTTGCCGTACATAAGCTATTTTTCAGTTCCTTTGAATCTTAACTTTCCGAGCTGCTATATATGTTGAAATAATGAATTAAAATGCTATATTTCAAGTCAAAGGGACAAGGGATGTAACGTCATTTCAACCATTCTGAATGGTGATTTACTTCTGTCAAAAAATAAACCATTGCGATTCAAGGCTGTCAGGCACAATTAGGTTACTAGTGCAAGCGGATTATACGGTCCTCTCCGAACAGATTTTACTGTTATGAAACCATCAAACTCACGAAGTAATATCCTATCATGAATCCTTTTTCTTTTTCACCTTAAAAGTTGGTTCTTCTGAACTTATATAAATTGAGTCTTATATTGTTGTTTATCGTTGTCGTCTGGTCGAATGAATGCGTCAGCGTCCGCGTAGATTAAAGCTACTTTTCTTGACGAGCGATGGCGCCGATAATGGCGAAACTGCTGAAAGGGCCTCATTTGTATGTCCTGTTGCTCCAAAGTAGAAAGTCCTTGACGGTCGACTTCCAGTTGATAGAGTTGAGTCAGGCGAGCGCACGGTATAACGCACCTCTGGGTCATTGCCTGGACCGCCAGTCGACGAACGCCAAGTATGCGTCCTATAGAAAAAGTTCACAGATACTCATTGAATGAATTCAATTATACATACATAACACTTAATTTATAATATGTAGCTGTTTTTTATCGTTACGGTATATCGAATTGTCGAAAAGGTATTGACCGTTTTTTAGCTAGATGGTTTTAAGGTCACATATCTCAGGTAATATGGGTCGCCTTGAATCGGTGCCATTTGAAAGCAGACTTACTAGAATTGTTGCCTTCATTCACACCTAAAATAGAGCGCCCTGAAAATGAGTAAGATTTCTGCAAAAATTCATTACATTTTGCAACTTTATGACGATTAAGGCACAAATTTGACCTAAAAAATTGTGCTATCCATGGTCAGATGCGTCATCAGAAGAAACGGTCGAAGGATGGCTCTGTTGTTTCTGTTCTGGAAATGTCGATGTAGAGCATGCTCCTCTCAATGGTGTACCAAATGCAAGAAAAGTTAACAAAATTACTGCAGTAGTTAAGCAAAATCGATTTGTGTGGATAGCCGTGATATCGTTAAGGAATTAAACGTCTGCCACCAAACAGTTTCAAACCATTTGGAAAAAGCTGACCACAAACCTTTACGTTTGAGTGCCGCACGATTTTATTCAAAATCGCCTAGTCCATCATACTTCCGTCTGCGAAATTTTTCACAAATGCAACCAAGCTATTTCTGAAGCGATTGACCACAGGTAATAAAAATGGATTATACATGATAGTGATGTGCTCCGTAACCTGTGACCAAGCCTAGGGAGACGTCAAGAATGTGTTTGATGGGACTGGAAAGGAATCCTGCATAATTAATTGCTGCCACTTGACAGAATGATTGATTCCGAGCCCCTACCGTCAACAATTGAGTTACAACGCAGCAATCTATTGACAAAAATCGACCGGAACAAGTGAACAGAAAGAGCGTCGTTTTTCACCAAGCCAGTGCCAGACCGCCTACATCATTAGTTATTTGGAAGGAACTGAAAGAACTTGAATGAGAAGTTTTAATGCACCCGCCCGAATCTTCTCCTATTCGACTATCATCAGTTTTGATTTACGCAAAGCCCCTTTAATGGTGTTAATTTAATTTCAATAAGGGCATGTAAAAAGCATTCTCACAATTTTTCACCCGGAAACCATAGAAATTCTGTAACGACGAGACTATGCTGTCATTAGATAAATAGTAGCAAATCATTGATCCCAATGACGCATATTTAGCTTAATACTATTATTTTAAGATATAAAAAGTATTCGTTTCAGCTTTGGTTTAAACAGTAACTACTTTTTCGACAATCCAGTGTCCTCGTTACCGATATGGACGGAAATAGAGTAACTATATTGTTTAAAATGTTATTCTTTCTACTGAACTATATCATTAACAAATATAGCATCCAGTCTGTTATAGTTATTTGAATAGCATAATTCTTAATGAATTTTTTTTGAGGTCTAGAAATAGATTACATCCGATTCGAATAACGGTGTATCGGGTGTCACAACTATATGCCAACTCGGAGAATCCCTCTGAGAATTATCAATTTAGAATATTATCTTATACTCAATATCGAACTGTATCACGTACCTGTAATCTTCGTTACGGACCGACTTTAGCGTGGAATGTGGCGATGTAATAATGGGCGAATGACCTTGGTCTTCACGAAGTAAATGTGAATCACGATGACTGTCCCGTAAATGTAAGTCGGAATGCCGAATGTCAGTATAAATGGTCTCGTGGCGGCGCTGGTCATTAGTTCGACTGTCTCGAATATCACTGTGACTGTTAAGCAGAAATAAAGTTGAGCATTTCTTGAGACATATTTTGCGATTTTTCATAGAATAATTTTTATAGAAAGTGTGTACACAAATAGTTTCGAGTCTTCAGAATCAAACCGACCGGGCCTTTAATTATCACTTCTTGTATTGGGAGAGGTCAGCCTTCTGCCTAATGGCAGTACCGGGCAAAAACAAAGGAGGTAAAACCATACACGACCCGCTTGGGTCATATATGCTTAAGTATCAAACGCACCATATCCTTATGATATATTTGAAGACTTACCGTGAATCACGTTGATCCCGAAGGTCCGCCACGCGGTGATATGCTCCAAATTCACAGTCACGTGAATCCTGCGTACTGCGAGTGGTGTCCACATTGATAACCCGTTGACGATCTTCTTCGATGAAGTGGTCTTCCAGCCACCTCGAAGCCCTGGAAGAATATTCACATACATCAACAACCGCATTTCCATTTCGTCTTCCTTAAAAACTTTGTAGCGTTTATATTCACCTGCGGGAGAAGGGATATAGTATTTTGGTCTAGTAGTACTGAGGTAATTTAGGGCCGACAGAGATAGTTCTATATGAAAAAATGAGTTGAGGATACAGGCATCTACATGGGTTAGATAAATAATCAAAAATGAATTTCCAACCACGATACCAGCACCAGGATTTAAAAGCTACGCAGGTAGGTCGTGCTGTGTTTCGTGAAAGTGAAAGCTTTATATGGCTTACCTGTTCGTGCTTTCAATAGGTCTTGGATAATCGTCTTCGTGACGAAGATCCGTGGAGTGTCTATTTTGTGTAATCTGAAGATACGTACGATCCTTATTCAACTTGTCAGACAAATAGTCAAATTTACCTCGTCCATCGTTCAGATACTCGAAATTCCTGTTATACAAAAAATAAACTATATTATTATCCGACGCTCAAATTGCAAAAAAGGTCATTCAAAATTGTTCCAAGTTGTGCATTGAAGATTGTTTTTGAGTTTGTAGGCTATTTTGAGCATATCATTGATACTTAATTCCATCACTGGAAAAGTTCTTTCGACATAAACAATTTACAACGACAAATTCATTATATGTGTATCAGGTAACTCGTACCTTGAGGTTGATGAATCGTAAGCTGGGGCGTCACGTTCCGCGTATTCCTCGGGAACCTCATCATCACTCTGCTCTTCGTGGAAGTGGGTGCGCGTTTTTTGCGTGTTCGCCTTACCATCAATGTGTTCTGTTAGCTCTTTAATACGGTCCTTATCCGTCACACGCTTGCTCCGAGCACTTATTCAAAATAGAAGCGCAAGTAATGCACTGAGTTGTATTAAGAAAACCAACTTTTGCAAGATCAATAAACAGATAACCATACAGCAGATGTATACGTATGCTAATGTCCTATATTCTATTATTGAAAAAGCAATTTAGTTTGTAACTTGCTAATCATGTTGCTGCGCAATAGCCAGTAACAGAATACCTAATATTTAAGAATGCTTATCACATTTCTATCATGCTGAACTCTATACGGGCGCTTAGCTTCTCAGACCGGTATGTAACACACTAGAAGGTACCACTTTACGTACATTTGTCAGGGTCTTGGAACATTATAAAGCTTTCTCTACACGCATGGTCAATCAGCCAAATTGGAGTTACAGTGAGCTCATTTATCAGTAAAAGAGCAACAAAAAATACGCCATCACTTATCGATTTTGGTCAAGAACATAATAGCTCCAAAGTCGCATATCTATAGAGGGATGTGGATTGAATGGCATGTTAAAGAATACTGGCGCATGACATTGTTTCTGTTTTGGGCGATGGATGAAAATGTTACTACTCCGGATGTTCCGATGAGATATTCAAGCAGTAAAGTGATTCAGACGTTGGATATTGCCGCGTGATTGACAACTCATTTAACGAACACGAATATCGATGACTGATGAAAGAAGCAATGTTCTTTTTTTTGATATTATTTATAGCTATTGATTCATGAGAGCTTATGATCTTTTCTGGTTTTCTAGCCACTGACAGAATAAACCTATTGAAATATCAAGACTTTTTCAAGACAGATTCGTCCTAGCAATATCAGCCTATGGCAATTACGTGGAAAGGTAGTCTTTATAGATGGATGTCTACCGTTAAGCATTTAAAAACGATTTGTATAAAACATTTAACCACGGTAGTGATAGAAACATTAATATGTAAGTGGTAACTAAATCATTATATGTGCGATACGTTTGTTTTTAAACATACTTAAACCACGAAAGGGACTGCTACATTCAAACCATCTTCGATGTGGTCCTTGATAAGGTTCAAGTTCTTTGATTTAACCAATAGCAATGAAACCTATGGCATCTGCCGAACCCATTTCAAGTAAGTTCCTCAAGGATCTTTATTTCTATCTATATTGTTTGCCGCTCTACCACTTTGGCATCTCCTATGCCTTTGGATAAAGTAGCATTAAATAAAAGGAAAATAAAAAGATCCCCTTCATTTAAACATATGATATCCAACAATGTGCTTTCTGATTCCGATGAATTATGTCGTTACGTGAAAAAAATATTTCTATCTAGCAGGTAAGGCTTTTAGCGGCGGTCGAGTGCTAGCCGACGAAAAGAGAAGCGTCACAACAATAGCGGTGAATCTGTCCTTGGCTAGAAGTCTATCCCTCAAAATTCCTGTTGTGACGATTATTCCTATAATCTATATGTATATATTATATTACAGCTAATCAATGGATGTGGGAAAGGACAGGACAATTAGTAAACTGCTGCGTTAGTCCAACGCTCAGTGTGACTTACACCGTTCAAATGTCGTATCCAAGACGAAAGCTACTAACGTAATAATAACAGCTCTAACATTCAAGCGTGCGGACTCATGACTGCTCGCCATAATCAAATGGATGGCATAATACTAATGTACTTATGGCAAAACTTGCATATTCCTCTTTTAGCATACTTGAGCGAATTAACAGGTATAACTCACTGCAACTAACACAGAAAGAATCTTCTTATAAAATGTCACTTTTGGATTGTAAGTTCAAAACTTAGCGCTCCCGATTGCTCGTGATGCTACCCACCTATAATGTGTGACCTTTCCCTTAAATTTGTGCGGATCACACAACGCTACTTCATCGCCAGTAAGCGCGAGCCGGTGTACGCTTTCGACGTTATCAAGATGTCTCTGGTCTTCATCGTGCATTTTAATGTTTTCTTCTCGACTTTCTCGCGTCGTATGGTAAGTCGTAGTTTTGTCATCGATGATCCGTTCTGATCCTGGAATTTTGACGTATCCAACGGGCAGATCGGGTTCACCGGAAGTCCTGGGGAGCCATCATATTTTCTATCAGTAAATGGATTCCCGTCGTCATAAAAATCATGGCTTCTTGTGCTTTAGACAGTCTAAACCTTTGTGATCCTATTTATTTGAATAATGAGGCACTTGATCAAATGTAAAAACCAAAGTAGAAGAAAATTTTAGGTAGGTTTAAAGCTGCATATGTCCTAATTTGCTGATCAGTTAGCTTTAACACGTAAAAGCAAAAATTAAACTCCGCGAATACTAATACTGCTGAAACTAGTACTAATTGCACTATAAATTTCGTTTTGAAATAACATATACATAATAACTAGTGCTTAATGATTGACGCACTTATGATTTGTATCCTCAGATTCTTCGATTTTGTTATCCTCGCGAGTTCGCTGGCTGACCTGAGGACCAGAATCGGCTATCACTTTTCCGTCTTCAAGTACCAGTTGTCTCTGAACGCGGGTCTCGATCTGACGGGTCTTGTGATTTACTGTTTTCTTTGAAGTTGTCCATTCCTCTGAAGGACAAATAGTCAATCAATATTATAGATTGAAGATGGCGATATTGATTTTTGTCAAGAAACATATCACAGAGGTGCTAATCTTCACTAGCACTATATGTCTATAAACATCGTACAATATTAACGTTAGTATAGCAAGTAGGTTAAATAACTGCTTCCGTACCTATAATAGCTAACATTCAGGCTCAATAATGTCTAGTGAAGCTGCAAGGGCTCTATGTAAAAACACATAAAAATGTAAAATAAATATGTTACAAATATAAATCCAATAAAAGATAAATGAGAAAAATAAGGAGAGAGTACGACAGTTTATTTAATTAAGTTATTTAAATTGAAACGGCGTTTTCAAGGTGACGGAGGGAAAAGAAATATTATCCTGACACTGAGTCTTGACATGTATACCCACATGTAAATATCAAACTTTATTTTTAATGCCCTATATTTGCGGGAGTTGACATACCTGATTTGTTTGCTTGAATCACGTCGCCCTGAAAATTTTACATAAAAGAGCATTTTAGGTAAGCAAAGATGTTATGGGAAAACATTAGTTCCTTGGAAGAACATATATGTTTATGTGTTTGTTGTTGTTTCCGTTATTTGTGGTACTTATATTCTTTGTTTGGGTGCACGATTTCAATTATGCGAATTTCGAAAGCTCTGAATAATAGACAGAGTCAGTGTTATAAATTATTACATATGCTCGTTCCAATAAGAATGACACATTAGATCTTGGATCACTGATATCGTTCTAAATACAAGAATAACCCCGTAAACAGAAGTATTTTAATATAAAAAAAAAAAGACTTCCCTATTGATTATGATCCACGCTTTCGTTTCAGAAATGAGATTCATACAAGAAACCGCTACAATGATGAAATATTATTCAATTCAGTACTATCAAATGCATATGTTTGTTTAGTATTAAAAGTGTGCGTACACTTATAACGGCTATATGCTTATATTAATGGGCATCCGTTCATTCATCAATGGTGGCTCAGGCCATAGTTACTACGATCTCTTCCACACATTCGAATTTGTACAGACACTTATAAGCCACTAGTATATCAAGCATTATTCTACACTTTCTGTTATACAGTGTTACTTACAGCGGGTGATGCGGTCCGCAGGTCCCATGACGTTTGCGGGACAATCCTGTGATCGGGCGTCGCACTTCGGTAACTAGATCGGTCCATATTGGCATCTATTCAGCATACTGTGTTACGAATGTATTAGAGGATACGTTTTCGGTTGAACAGCGAATACTGTTAATTACACCTAGAAGCACGGTTCACATTTTAAGGACGACAGGTTTGACTTAATTGAACTCAGCCTTATGTGCAATGTTACATACGATTCTTCCTTTTTAAGTCGTTCTTTCCTTTCGACAAATATCTTTAGCTTTGGTTTTGAGATTTTCGTTTTTCGCTGCGACACGACCGGCTACCAGCTTCGGTTCATGTTGCGCGCTACTACCATATGAGGAGGACGTTTTCGGCCGTATTTGCTTGCCGTCGGACACTTTGGGAAGCGTCGGCCTATACGACATTTACGTCTTGTATATGTGTACAATCGTTCGTTGTTGATCACTCCCTCTTGTCAAGATGGCGTTCAATTTGTTGCTCTTATTTGGCCAAAGATGAATTCGTATCGTTGGCTCAACTTCGGTCACCGAACTGGTCCTTTGGCGGTTCGTCTTGGTTCGTTTGGTTCGTCAGTGTTTTGGTTCAACGGTAGGAAGGAGCTGTCGCGTGCGCTGATGTGCAAAAGTGTATCTGCAAGTGCTTGCGTATGTCCGCTCTATACGAAGCCAGAAGCCCGCTTGCGACTTGCAGCGTCCGCCGGGCGTCACCATCTAAAGCGCAGTGGCTAGCCACCAATTACTAGCCACCAAGCGTTTCCGAAATCGTCGTCGCTACTGTTGCTGTGTTTGCAAACCACGAACCAAAGCCCGCGTTGGTCGACCTTGGTAACGTGTAGGACGTGCTATCGTGGGATCACCGCTGGCGGCGACTAGGAGATCGTGAAACGCTCGGCGCTTGATATTCGTTAGTTGCGCGTTGTACGAAAGCCTCTATCGAACAAAACAGACCAGAACACAACGACGAAGTAAGTTAAAACTCGCACGAAGCAAAGAAAAAAGAATATAAACAGATCTTTTTGTCGGACATAAGGGGAAGCGTGGTACTATGGAGAGAGCATCGGCCAGTCCAATGGCATTGACCGTGTTTGGGTTTGATATTGTATGTAGTCGTAGTAGTTGTAGCTCGTACTTACAGCTTAAAACGTTACACTACATGTAGACGAAATGGTGTTGGAATGATGCCGAGCGCTGCGCGGCATTCTAAGTTCGCTGTACGCACAAGCACCATGAATGTAACAACAACTAAGTAAAAAAAAATATGTACAGGCGAAGTACGTATGGCAATTTACGGAAGACATCGTGCTGAAGAGAAAAGGAGAGCCGCCGTAAAAGCGAAATCGGATAAAGACGAAAATTGTGACAGGTGTAGAAGCAGCAACTGGTCTCGCTCTATTGGGGCTGTGACTTGCAAACGCTCAATCTATCTTTGATTGTCGTCTCAATTTCTATAGTAAACGGTCTTCTCTTCTGCCTAATACTATTAATGCATGTCTAGGCGTATTTGAACATTAAAGGAAATTCTAAAATTTGTGAAACGAATACGCACAACACGGTCGACATATTACCATACAACAAATAATCTGCTGTTCCAAGACGGGGCGTACGAAATTCTTATCCACTATGAGAGCTGAAACGAAGTAAGGCAGCGGATATCGTTTTCAACTTTTAGAAACCTCCCCACGTCCACGAGTTACCATAACACTTGCTACGCACTATTTAGGTAAAAAGTACCTTAGATTTTGGGTAAGCACCAATCAAAGACGTCAACGCAACGAAGAATTATGACTAATGCAGAAAGCAGTAAAATGTGTTGAACGCTAATACACTGAAACAACGTTTTTACGAACACATATGCAATAGTAAATAATACTTTGCAGCTACAAAACAGCTTCGCATGGTAGTTTACTCCGGTGAACAAAGTCAAACTGGAAACAGTATACAAAAAATTAGTCCCGTCAGGCTAGGTCAGTAACTTTTTGGAGATAAGTTATTCGAAGCTAATGCAGGCTCGATTTACATACGTATGTATCTCGTTACTGTCGAAGAAGAACGCATTAATCCAGGCGGCAGTGAAATCGAGACAAAAATTAATAGAAAAGTAATATGGATACGTATTCGACATGTTTTGTCCAGTGACGCAACCGACCGTACGGTGTACCAAGTGCATTCTTATAGATCGACGTTAACATATTTACCATGTCTATGGAGCGTCAGATGGCACCAATGGTGAGACTCAGATTCAATCAGCTTTCTCTACAGATTCAGTACGGCCTTTGGCAATTGTGAGTCAATTCGATTCACGAATCGTGTAGTGGCTAAATGAATAAGTTTCAAATTTTGTGTGCAGCATTTCCGTTAAACATTACTTCAGGCGACTAGTTCCACACGAAAACCGAAATACGTTTACTCCCGGTTCCGAACGGAGATCATTTTACGTGTCCCTATGCTTACCGACCAGTCATGTTACGCGGGCTTGATCACGTCCACAAGTAGCGTAACAGCCACAGTTGACATCTACTCTGTGCAGCTTTCTAAAACGTCCGACCGCCGCTTAACGAGCAACAATAACGATAAAAAAAAAGGAGTCTCAGAGAATAGGTGTTATTACAACACTTCGTAATAGAGTGTCAGAAACGACAATGAAATAAAAAAGAATATCGGTAATTTTTAGATTATGTGTAGAGCCACTTGAATCACAATTATAGTTAGGTCAAGCCTGCGCCTTCCCGCGAAGTGTCAGGACAATGCCAACACAGTTAAATACTGCTTACGTTACCAAACAAGCAGGTATTTGTCCTTCGACTAGGTTGACAAATTTCTTTGCCTTTGGTCTATACATTAGCATATTGTGATACGACAGCTGTGATTACAGCCGTAGAAATACTGTGTTGACAAACAGCTTGGCAAAGGCGACCCTTATTTGATTTGCCTAGGGCAGATTGGTCGCGTCCGTACCGCGTCACATCTGCACCAGGTGTCAGTCGAAACGGATCAACTTCATCACTACTGCGAAAACCGCCTACGCTGACGCTGGCAAAAAAAGTTCTGATTACTTTTGCCTAATTATTGCACTATACTACAGTTTCTCGTTTCGGCTGCATGAAACGTTTCCATACGCTATTGTTCTACTCTGAAACAAAGAAAACCAGGCGTATAATGCCCGGGACGTAAAGCGCCCGCCTCGTTGTACAGATTATACTCATGTTCACTTTGCTTTAATTATCATATAGTCGTGTTGTGATGCATTGTCTTCTTTAAGATCAGGACAACGATTAGTTCGGCACTGAGCGATAGGAACGATCATAACAAGAGAAGGAACAGCTTTTTTAATAGATAGTCATATTTTCATATATTAACCTTACAAAGGGTTTATCTCCGATTTTGGTGGAAGTTGAGCTTCATAAAGTTGCATGCTCAACCTACGTAGCTAAACTATAAGCATAATAATCGCAACATTGTTAGACGTGGCTTTTAGACCTCTGCTGTTAACCAGCCATTTGCTATTATTTGCATGCCTTCAAGTCGCATCGCATCCCGTGACTAGAAAATTATATCAATTGACATTAATTAATCACATGCGTGGCCAACGAATTAGATAATGACTTTTCACGGCAGTACACTTTTTACGGCAGCCATGCTTGGTTATCCTTGTTTACAGCACATATCTCCTCTATCATATCTAATCAAAGGTGGATATTTACGCGTCTCCTAAAAATGCCAGAGCTATTATGTGCCATTGATGTCACAAAATCCTTGCCAAATAGTTGCATTATAATACATGATCTTAGAAGAGGAATAGAAGATTTTCAGTAATATCTGTTAGACGATATTGCTGCAGATCCAATTCTTCGCTATAGACTGTTTATGCACAATATGAATTAGCAGCTATTTCTTTAAGAACTGCACACGCACCCTATAGTATGTATTCCCTCGCGGTAAAAAGGTTTTATGTTAACGAATTGTAAGGAACAGAAATAATAGGTTAGGTCGCGTAAAAAGTTGGCAAAGATCTCGCTCGATACATGGATAGTTTCCAGGTGGTTAGGATAATGGCATGGCTCAGCACGATTCACTTGATTTGTTGTCATAACGTATCGTTGCCTACCGAGTTGGACGACCCAGGCCGCTGTAATGGGGCGGGCAGGTCCGGTTACCAAGGTCAAAATCATAGTTCTCACAAGAACAATCGCATCGTTAACGACCATAACTAATTTGCCCTATCGCTCGTAAAATGTACAATAGCCCGACTAGTTATATAAACGCGACTTTTAGCACATGGCAATTAAACATAACAGACTTGTAATTAAACATGCAGCATTTACTAGCTATAATAACAGCTACCAATTCCCGTTACAACTAGTCGTTGCTTTGTCACATGTTGGCTATACATTTATATAACTACCAGGAATCTGTATTAAAGCCCGAAAAAATTCTTATAGAAGGCAAGATTTCAGGCAAAGCCATATATGCGACGTATCTATAGACCATGATATATACATTCTACTGTAACATCGATTTTTTCCCCAATAGCCTGAGTATTTTTAGTGGGTTAAGCTTGCTACCCTAGTGGCATGGGCTGTCTAGAAAGCATCGTTCGATGTGTTTATTGCGACCCATATCTGAATTCTGTTCCCATCGAATGTGGGACGACGAATTTTGGACAAAGTAAAATATTGCTTAACTAGACATACGAGGTTAGATTTCAGCCATTTTGCTATATGCATGGATATAGTAGTTATTGTCGAAAATATACGCACATTATGTATTACAATTTCGCTCGTCAAAAGGAAAAGGGGTGATTGACCTCTTGCTTGTCTGCGTGTCTCATATGGTAATGAAGAGAAGCTGCCAGCTGTGCCATACGCGGAAACAATATAGCAGTGCGTTCCCGCTATATAGATAGATGTATAGCTTTGCAGAAGTGCGAAGCCACTGGAGACCCTATAACGGCTCGGCATATCGATGACCTTCGGCATCATCGATGCGTGCTAATCCGTGATAACAGTAACTATACGACTACAACCAATGACACCCTAATGAAGAAGCCGCCGCCGCTGCTGCCGTTGCTTCTGAATGTTTGGACTAAAATATTAATTAAGTATGAAAGTTTTTATGTAGTGGATCTCATAATTAGATGATTTGTATATGCTTTTTTCTTAGCCGTTTAGACCACTCTTGATCATTTCATAAACGCCACCATTTAGAGGCTGAGCTCAAAAGTACAGAGTCATGTCTTCGGTTTGTTACGCGATTGTATTCCGTTACATATTGTAGCAAACACTTACTTAAACAGTCATTTCAATTGAACTGCCATATGGTTGCCGTGCTAACTGTGTGTCGCCATATGTTGCTACGTGATATAACAGCTACGTATTGCAAATCACGCTGCTGATATTGAGATCGGCCTCTCAAGTAAAATAAACATTATACAATGTTTCCCTCTTGTGCATATCTAATAGTAATAATCTCACTGTTAACTATGTATCTATATGACTTCGGAGTCCTGCCGGTCAGTTCACACCATTTGACCACCTTCAAACGACCATGGCAGTCAGGAGTGGAATCGAAATAAGCATAGCTCGTACAAGTTTTATCCACAACCCATCGGAACAATGATAACGATTACATAGTGTAACAACTAATTACCCCCCCCCCCCCCCCAACCACTCTCCTTTTTCAGATATGGTCTGGCGGCCTTTAGGTTTGTAAACTGCATAACGTTTGTGAATAACTTAGGTGGTGATGCACCGGCTGAGCTGTTTAGATGCCAGGAGAACTTTCTGGAGCGGAAATAACAGGGGATGAAGAGTATATTGATTATTACCGTGTGGAATCACTTCCGATTATCCTCACAAGCTAGCCAACGGCATCCGATAAGGCTGTTCTTGTTAGTATATGCCGATGGTAATCATAAAATTTGTTCAGTTTCC